AAAGGCAGGCGGCAGGCCCAGCGCACCGCTGCTCTGAAGCTGCCGGCACACCTGCCCCCTTGTGCCGCCCCGCTTCTGTCAGGATATTCAGAATTACAGGATACAGCCTAGAAATCATTTCTTGCAAGGGCTATTGGCCAAACTGGGGCACCAGCCCCCAGCCACATGAGCTGGGCACCGTGGGAACAAGGCCAAGGCTGGTGGGGGCTGGGGAAACAGCTGGGCCAGGTGCACAGCCACAAGGGAGCTCGGAGCTCACTGTGAGGTCAGGAAGCCCCAGCCACCTCTGACGGGACCACTTAGTGTGCCCTGTGGTGTGCACCGCAGGCTCCCCAGTGCACTGAGCTCTGAGCAAGGTGTGCTACAGTACCTCCAGCCCAAGGTGCAGGCGGCACTGCCCTCCTCACATTTGTTTATTTATTTTTTTTTTTTTTGGTACCAGGAATCAAACTCATGACCTCAGGCTTGTCAGGCAAGCACTTAAGCCACTGAGCTATACCCCTGGCCCCCTCCTCACATTTGGGGAGACAGACTCAGGGACCCAGGTTCTCAGTAGCTGTGCCACCACCCACCCAGCAGCCCTGATTCCACTAGTGTCCAGTGACCTCCAGGAAGTCATACCAGTCACCCACTTGGCTCCCCCAGGTGGCTCCTGGGACACAAAGCAAGACACAGCCAGGCCCGATGCCCACCACACAGGGGCTGTGGATGGCTGGACCTGAGGAGAGGAGGGCTTGAGCGGGGCATCCTCAGGGACAGCAGCACCGGGCTGCACCCATGCAAGAGGTGCAGGGGCGCCTCCTTCCACCTCGGACCTCGCTCATGGTGTGAGGTGCCACCTGCCAAGCGAAGGCCCCTGTGCCAGCTGTGGGCACAGCGCTGTGGGAGGGACTCTGCAGGCCACAGAGCGGCCTGGGAGGACAGGGCATTCCCGGCAATTCCCCAGGGGACATGGGAGGTGCAGTCCCCTGTGAGCCTGGTCTCAGTGAGACTCTGAGTAAAGGACAAAAAGAAAGTGCCCTTTAATAAATCACCACCGCCTCATGGAGCCAAGCCACCTGGCAGCTGAGCCTTCTGGGTGGCGGCCCCTCTCCTTGAGAACAGGCGTGAGGGGCAGCGAGATGCCACATGTGGGAGCAGGGGCAGTGCTGGCAAATGCTGTGACAGAAAGGACCTGCTCAGGCTGGAGAGGTCGGTTTCAGGAAAGGGGGACCTGTCCATGAAGCCAGAGCCCCTCAGCCCCTGCTGCGATCTCACAGAGGGCCAGAAGACGTTGCTCCGTGGGCAGCAGGGGGAACACTTCGGGGGCGGGGGTGAGGCAGCTTCCTGGCTGTGCCCTGTGTCCAGTCTTACAGCAGAAGACACTCGGGAGACACTGCTGTCCACAGCATCTGGACGACACTTGTCAAGGACCGGGCCGGCTCTGAGCACCACTTTGGAGCACCCCACATAGTGTGGGACCACCCAGGGGACCTGTGGGACACACTGGCTGCTCCTTGGTACCTCGCTGTGACCAGCAGTTGGTAGCCAGGCCCAGGTTTCAAGGCCAGCGCTGTCACCTTGACAAGTGTTCTAGGAACTCGAGCAAGACACTGTAAAGACTGAGCTCAAGCCAGGCGTAGGGGCATACTTCTGAATCCCAGCACTCTGGGAGGCTGAGACAGAAGGATCACAAGTTCTAACCCAGGCTGGGCAAATTAGCATCACCTTGTCTCAAAAAGAGAAAAAAAAGGATTGATCTCAGACGCAGTATCCTCTCTGCGTTACCCACATTGTCATGGGGTCAGGGTCCTGCTGTGGGTGAGGCAGAGGCCAGGAGAAGCTTGCTGTGCTCAGCCTGCTCCAAGTCCTTAGTCACTTTGAACTCTTCCCTGCACCCCAGCTTGCCGTGTCCCTTTTCTCTTTTGAGGCACTGGTCAGCCTCTGTCTTCTAGATCTCCCGGGTGGACCTGGAGCACATTGGCTCAGGGCTCGCGCTCCAGATCCTGCCTGCGGCGCCTCCTCCCAGGCCGCTCCAGGGCCGCATCCCCAGCCCAGGTGGAGGCAGCTGGGCCCCACTATGGCTACTCTCATTTACACCACACCCTGGAGCCACTGACAAAGGCAGGACATTTCTTCAAATACTTTCTTCCCGGAGAAAGGCGTGAGAATTTTACATTCTCATGACACATGCCTGCAAGCTTTTAATCAAAAACACATTTCCCATGCTGCGCATGGTGGTGCACACCTATAATCCCAGCACTTGGAAGGCTGAGGCAGGAGGATTGCAAGTTTAAGCCCAGCGTGGACAATTTAGTGGCTTAGCAAGATCCTGTCTTAAGAACAAAACATTTTAAAAAGAACTAAAGATGTACCACAGTGAGAAGGCCCTGGGCTTAACCTAGTACCACAAAAAAAAAACAAAAACAAAAAACAAACCTATTAGGAGTTTAAGCCCTGCTTATTTTCAGTGACCTTCCGAGGGTCCCTTCCTCTTCACCCTCTTCCTGCCCCCCCACGGGCAGCTCCACGGCCAGCCCCTGGTGTTCAGGCTGCCGGCAGTGTTGGATATGAAGCTCCATAAGCACATCTTAGTACCTTCCCTGCGAGGACATGTCCTCTACAGTCTTCCCTTGTTCTGGGAATGAAAGGTAGAGACCACCTGTTCCTGGCCATCACCCAAGGCATCCGATGGGACGAAGTCCTCGAGCCCCATAATCTCTGAATGAGCAGCAGGGGCCGCAGGTCATAGCTGCTCATCTCAGATTCCAGGACAAATTCTGGAGCCCTCATGGGGACCACACACTATGGCCACACACTGTGGGTGCCTCTGCTCCGGGCGGGGAGGTAGCCCGCTCTGCCATTTGTGGGTTCCTGACCCACCAGCCCAGGGCGGAAGCTGGGGCTGAGAGGAGGGGCTGGCAGGGATGCCCACTGCCCCCTCTGGCTTTGTTCTTATTTTAGATGACTCATTTATACGTCTCAGAGATGTGTGTGCTGGTCAGGACAGAGCTGTGTCCCACAGCCCAGCCTCAATGTCTGAGGGCTGGCTGGCCACCATCCAGGCTGAATGGTCCCTAGGCAGCTTTGTCCCAATGCCCATCCTTCCCACAGAGAAAAGGGAGCAGAAGCCATGAATGGCAGGTGGTTCCTGTTTCAATTTTGTACAATTCTCCATTATTCCTTGAACCCTGTGGTGGACTGACAACTAGTGGTCAACTTGTAACATCCAGCTGAACTGAACCAGCGTGGTGCTGGGTGTGGGGGGCCCACCTGAGGACTGTTACTGGCAGCATAAGAGGCAGACCTGGAGAAGGAGAGAAGCTGTCGGGAGCTGCTGGTTTTCCTGGAGGAGCTTGTCATGCTGACTTTCCTGATGTTCTCATCAGGGGAGGAGCTTGGGACTTTCTTGTCACTCAGAATGGCTACCTTTCTCTTTGGGGGAGCTCCGGTCCTCACTTTGAGCATCACTTCTTGGCTCCAGAGGAGAAGATGGTACACTCTGCTCAGTCTCCTGAAGAAGCTTGTCACTTTGGCTTTCCTGATGGGAACTAAGCCTTCCTCATCATCGGAGGAGCCCGGAACCTCACTGTTGCTGAGGATGGCTGTGGTACCTTTCAGGGGAGCTCTGGTTCTTACTTTGATCATCGCTTCCTGGCTCCAGTGCAGATCCCTCAGCCTGCTGGCACAGAGCCTTCATCCTGCTGGCACAGACTTTCCAGATTCCACCACTGACCTTTGGGCCTTCCCAGTGCAGATCCGTGAAACAGGCCTGCATGAGACATTGTCATGGGCTCTTGGCCCCCAACTGGACTCATGGGGGGCACTGTTACGGGCTGTAGGTCTTCAGCTGGACTCAGGCAGGACATTACCGTGGGATCCAGGCCCTCAGCTGGATTCTTTGGTCTTTAGTGTGTGGACAGACTTCCTGTACTCTCTTGTATATGACTCTTTGGGTGACTATTATAAAATAAATCTTATAATTAAGTGTCCTGTATTGTATTGTAAACCCCTGACTACAACAAACCACATAGGCACAAACCAGACAGAGACCTATGGAGCAGTAGAAATTCCCTAACCAAGACTCTGCCCTCAGAGAGACAACCACAATGCCAGAGGGTGAGGACACATACAGCACTGTATGTGACAGATGACAGATGACTGACAGATACGGAGTGCAGATGCATAGGCAGGTGACCACTCTATAAGTAGATAGAAAGGTAGACAGACGATAGCTCTAGTAGATACGTGATAGGTGATAAATAGATAATAGATAATATGGTAGATAAACAGGTGAATGATAGACAAGAGACAAAAATGGTAGGTAAATAATAGGTATGTAGGTTATAGATAAAAAGGCATACAAATGATATATAGATAGATATGTAGATGAGAGATATAGATAGATACAGATGAATGATACAACTGGACACTTTCCTCCTTCTTGGAGGTTGGGGCTGTGTGTTCTCTTCCTTCCAAACACAGGCACACCTGGAACACAGGCCAATGACACAAACGTGGACAGGTGCACATACCAGCACACGGAGGGCTGGGTTTCCTTCTACAATGGTTTCAGGGACAGCTGGGTTTCCTTCCTCTGAAGCTAGGTCTGAAGGAAGCTGACCTTACACCTAGCACTGCTATGCCCATCACCAGTACTGCTAGCTGACCTTATACCTAGTACTGCCCATCACCAGAGGAAGTTCACCTGTCTCTCCTGGCACACCACCAGCCTGAGAGGCCCCAGTGTGCCAAGCCCAAGAAGATCGGGGTCTCCACAAAGCGTGTGGGAAGATGCACAGACTCAAGCGTGCTGTTCTGTTTTCTGGGATAGATCGGGAAGGCACCCTAGGCCGGGATGTCCCGTGTGCAACCAGCGGCCCAGCAACAGGCCAGGGGCCCCGCCTCCTGCCCCCGCCCCAGCAGCACTGCCTCAGGCAGGGCTGGCCCCTCTGGAGCTGCCTCAGGCAGGGCTGGCCCCTCTGGAGCCAAGCCAGGTGTTTGAACAGGCTGATCCTCACCCGGGGAAGGTGCCGCATCCCCTTCAATTAAGACAGCAACTTCTGCAGAGCCCTGTCCTCCTCTGTAGCTGGCACCCTGGGCCAGGTGGCTGCAGAGGAGGGACTCTACAGGAGGGGCCAGACCACTGGCTGCGCCTCTCGTCCCTGGGTGGCTCTGGCAGGTCCCACCACTTTTCTGGGCTTTGTTCCCAGGATGCTAAAGCAAACAATGGAGATTTGAGGCATGTGACAGACCTGGCACGGCTGGCCCAGCTGCCCATCACACAGTGTATGGGCAGAGTATGCTAACTTGCTCCCCATGTGGCTTTGCCAGGGTCCTGGGCCTGGGCTGAGGGCATGGGGTCTGGGGTAGCAGGCATCCAAAGCCACCAAGAGGGAGGGGGTCTCCCTCCCTGTCGACATCAGGGGCACTGAGTATGACTTTTACACCCAAGGCGTCACAGTTAGGACACAGCCACCCCCACGGGGCTCAGGACAGCCAGGCTGGAACCTGTGCCAGTGGGTGTGCATGCAGAATGACGGCATGACAGCTGCCAAGGAAGCCTGGTGTGCCCAGAGCTGGGCCAGGTCCAGTCACACCACACCCACCACTCAGGCCTGACTTCTTGCTCACAACACCATGATGCCACCTGCCCAGGCCAAGGTACGGGGCACAGGCTCCACGGTGCAGGCAGATCCATTTATTCACCACTCGTCTCCAATAAAGATAACTAACCACCATTCTCTCATGCATGAGAGACGGCCCTCTTTGTCCTCAGCCTGACCCTCAACTGACTCCATGGCTTCCAGGCACCAGCCACAGGGAGCCTGGACACCTGGAGCAAAGACGAGGTTCTGAGAGGCACGAATGCCACAAAAAAATGCTCTGCGGCTGTCTTCCCACTTACATACTTTAATTTTGTTTACTGTGGTAAAAAAAAAAAAAGGTGACATATAATTTACATCAACCACTCTAATGCAGAATGCAGCAGCATTAGTTATGTGCACACTGCTGCGCAGACCTCTAGGGCTTTCTCATCTTCCCAAACTAAGCTCTGTCCTCGTAAATACTGACCCAATCTCCTCCCTGGCCCTGGCACTGCCTTTCCGCTTCCCATGCCCGAGTCTGACCACTCTGGGGGCCTTCAGCAATGGACTCCCGCCTCTCCGGTGACGAGCACCTTTCCCTGTGCAGTGCACAACGTGCTCAAAACTGACCCGCAGCGCCGCTGCATCAGAATCTTCTCCTTCTTAGGACTGAATGCTGCCCCGTCGCAGGAATGAGCCACACTGGTCAAACATGCATCTGCTCGAGGACACCGGAGTTGCTTCCACGCCCGGCCGTTGTGAATGGTGCCACTGTAGTCAGGGCGGGCGCACACTCACACTTAGCACAGGAGGAGCCTGGCCACACAGGGGCTCCACAAAGGGGCTGCTCTGAGGACAGCGGATCCAGTCAGACAATCCCACCACGCAGCCAGCATCTCCTGCATCTGCCCACGAGGAACCCTACCATGCGCAGAGGGGCACAGGTCTGAAAGCCACCACTTCTGCCAGTCAGAAGTTACCCTGAAGTTACAGCAGGACGCACCTGGCTTGCTGCAGAAGAGAGTGGAAGCCTGCTTCTTGAGGGGCAGGTGCCCAAGTTCACACCAGAGCCCTTGGTGCTTGCTGGCTAGACGCTGCTCTGGAGGTCCTGGGCCTTCCTTACTTAACCCATTCCCAAGGTGTGTCCCTGCTGAGGAGACCCACAGACCCAGGTCAGCAAACCCCAGACAGAAAAGACACATCTGCTCATATGCAAAGGGCCTGGGAATCAAAGGCAATGGGTTCAATTTTACCAAACTTCTCCACCCTTGTAAACTTAATCGAGTCAGTGAGTCTCAGGAATCCGGGAAGATTAAGCAGAACAGGAGATCAGGTTTAGTGGTACCCGCAGTTCCTTGAAACCAGAACGTTCCAATGATTCTAAACATCCTAACACTAACAATTCTGATTAATATTTCAGGGTATTTTTTAAATTTACAAATTTGTAACACCTTCCACTGCAGGTGTCCAAAAATAAATTCCCTTATCTTTTAAATGACTGGTTTCTTTCAAGAATCTGCAGTCTTAGAATCCAACAAGTCAGTTTTCTCCACTTGGCTTTATGGCCTGTCGGTTTGTGAGGTGCCCACCCACCACCCCCCCGACATGACCCAGAGGCCCTTCTGTCCATTCACCCCAGACTGTGAAAACGCTGCCACCTGAAGCCTGTCCCTCCTCATGCTGGCAGACAAGGCAAGCAACCACTGACTTCTGTGTGGGTGTGGACAGCGGGCTGGAGGGTCAAGCAGATTCCTAGATTTAATGTTAGCACTTTCAGACCCAGCTGTCTTTGAAAGCCACATTCTCTGGGCCTGGCTCCACACCACAGAGGGCTAGACCCCATGTCCTTCCCAGCCTGAGCTCAAACTCCTCAGAGGGCCTATCTGTAGCCCACACCCTATCCTTGACAATCTGTCATGGCTGTCTCTCAACCAGTCACCGTGTTAATGTACACTGGAGATCATGAAGTGGACTCAGTTTTAAACAATTAACCCCTCCCACAGTGGCTCCTGATTAAACTGTCTCAAATATGGTGGGTGCAGACTGCATCTCTTCTCCAGTTCCAGCCTGCTGTGTGGAGTGAATCACCTTTGAAGTAAAATCCCACTTGCTTTTGCAGTCCACAATAACCACAGGCTTTTCTTGGGGCTGGTACCACTGGTCCAGTAGGTTGTCTGTTCCTGGCGTTACCAACCTTCTGGGCTGACCAGACATCCATGACGAGGTCAGTAGGTTGGTTGGTGCCTCTACTGCCCCACGCCAAGGGGGAACAAGATGCAGACCAGACTTGGAGTTGGCCAGTAGCCATGGCCAGGACATGGAATACACAGGTGAAGAGTTGGCTGAAGGTAAACATGGTGCTCATACTTTTTGGGCTTCGTCCACAGTGGTAGCTCCATGGGGCTCTAGCACACAGTCCTGGCAACGGCAAAGACATGCTCAACCGCCCAGGTGCCTCAGGACCCTGGTGGCAGGGGCCTGCTCAGCTCCAGTGCCACAGAGAATCCAGTGGCCTCAGTTCCCAGTGATGAGGACCCACCTGGCCCCACCCCCCAGCTCAGGATGCACCACAGCTCTGCCAGGCCGGTGACCCCAAGGCTGCATAGCTACTGAATGCAAGAAACTTTTAAACAAAGGATCCACCTGTCTCCAATGGAGCAGACTCTGGTGACATTTCACTCTTTCAAAGCAAGCTGGAGCTTTTTTCCATGTGTGTGTGTGTGCTACTGTGGATCAGTCCCTGGGCCTTGTGCACATCAAGCAAGCACTCACCACGGAGCTGCACCCCAACCCGAGCTGGCCCTGATTCAGACCCTTCTCTGAGTGTGGCTCAGATGAAGAGCTCCAGCCTCCCTGGGCCTCATCAGAAATGAAGGATATTGGTTTGTACTGCCCTTTAACAACCAGCACTGGGGTGATATGGGACAGAGCTGCCAGCATGACCTAGAGATTCCAGAAGCTGCCCTTCAGTGGAAGAGGACCAGGAGTGGAGAGAAAAATATCTGGACTGAAGACCTCAGTGGCTGAAGGTGAGAGAAAGACAGCGCCAGAAATTGTCCAGGCAGCTGGAACAGAGAGACGCTGTGTGACATTCGCATTGCACGAGGAGGACCATACCCTCCGACATTCTCTGCAGTACATGATCATGCAGAATTCAGAAGTGGGATTCTGTGGTTCCACGACGACCCGTCCTTCGAGAGCAAAATTAATTTGTGCACTCAGACTCGAGGTGCTCTTCCAGCTGTTGACCCATTTCAGAGAGGCAAGCAGAAATGAATCCACACTCTAGTCCCTTATGCAGGATACAAGGAGGATCCTTTGGGATATTCTGTTCATGATTTTGCAGACTTCAGAATTAGAAACTTGTGATTACAGCTTGTGCTATCCTTTAGCAAGGCGTGGCTCTACCTATTGATGCATTACAGCTGTTGGAATCCCAGTAAGAACATGTATATTCACCTAATAAATTCCGTTTTGTTTAGAAAAACAAAAAAAAAGAAAGAAAGCCAGCCTGGGTTACTCAGGTCCCGGGCAGATAGGGTGCTTCCGTGGCGGTGGCCCATGGGAGACCAGGCTCAGCTGTCCAGGTCCACACGCAATCCTGCTGCTTATGTCCAGCTGGGTGCTGAGCTCCAGGTGAAGTGGGGAACTGTGAACTGTGGGGCCACAGGTCCTCCTGGTGCTAGCTGAAGGGCAACAGTGAGGCAGTGGGCGCACGTCCTCTGAGGAGAATGGACACCCAAGGGAAGTGTCCTGGCTGCAGTGGGGGGGGGGGGGGGGCGGGGCTTGTAGCTCAGAACCCACAGCCTGGGCGCTGTAAACAGCAGGCATCTGTTTCCCAGGGTTCCAGAGGCTGCCAGTCAGACCACAGTGCCAGCAGGATTGCTGTCTGGGCCAGGGATATAGCTCAGTGGCACAAGTGCCTGCCTGGAAAGCACAAGGTCCTGAGTTCAATTCCCGGGACAAAAAAAAAAAAAAGGACTGCTGTCTGGGGAGGCAGTGTCTGCTCCCTGTGTCCCAGTAACGGAAGAGGCAGCAGCTCTCTGGGGTCCACAGTAACCCATGAAGGCGCTTATCCCATCATGGGGCTCATCATCTCCCAGTGGTGACCTAGCACCATTGCCTCGGGGAGGGGACTCCACGTGTGTTCTGGGGGTCACACTCGGACCATGACAGGGACAGGGCCACGCGGCCATTGTCCCCTCTTCCCTTCCGATAGGAAACAATCCTGAAATCAATGGCGGCGACGACAACCTGGAGATATCAATGCAGCAACATGCCGGGCCTGTCTGCATTAACACACCCTCTCCATCTTCACAGATAAACAGTTCCACGAAGGCTGCCCATTATTAATAGCCCATTTAGCCTTAAAAGCAGCAGCGCCGATCCTCACACAAGGCCTACATGCTGCTGGGAGGCCGAGAGGCGTGTGTCGGCAGCACGCGAGGAAGGTCCCCTTCCACAGCTGCCGCCTTCATGATTCCACCGGCCCCACACACCTCGCCTCGTTGTGATCCCGGAGCTGGAGGCTCACAGAGGTGACGAGAGACTGATGAGCACTGCCGGAGCATGACACAAAAGCAGCGGACCAGCAGGATACACTGGGGACAGGTCCTTCAGAGGCCGGCTGTCCCCACTCAGCCAGCATCTGCTGGGATCCCCCGACGGACAGGTGAAGGGCAGGAGCAAGCCTCCCAGCTGCACCATGCCAGCTCTTGTCCTCACGGGGTGCTGCTTCTCTACGGGCAGGAAGTCACCCAGCCCAGCATGG